TAAATAGTCCTGCACAGTGTCAACAGCACAGGCGGTAACAAACTGCGCTCAGTGCAAGTATAGCAATAGCTAGAAAGACAAGTGAGGCTAGAGACTCACCGAGTGCTTGAGACGCCAAGGATGGCACGTCCAACTTGTAAAACCTAGCGAAAGTATTCTGTGAAGACCAGTCGGCTGCAAAACATATCCTGAATAGACTCCAGACCAGACCTATGAAAAGGCAATAACCCTCGTCGTATGAGCTCTGATGTTGAGAGCAGCGATGATCAGCCCAAACAAGAAGACGACTACACCAAGCATGGGTTAGACACACAATTTCCAAGCACATGAAATGTACATAGAACTGCACAGTGTCAACAGCTACACGCGGTAACAAACTGTGCTAAAATTGCAAGCATAGCAATAAACTAGAACAATTGAGGTTAGAGACTCACCGAAAGCACTTGAGACACCAATGACAGCACAACCAGCTTGTAGAACCTGGCAAAAGTATTTTCTGAAGACCAACCAGATGCAAAGCATATATCCAGAATAGATGTACCTTTAGACCAGGCCAATGAAAAGGCAATAGCTTGTGTCATATGGGCTCTGATATTGAAAGAGCATTCCTGTCAATGGCTCGCATAAGCCGACACGATAGCGTCCACTATCAAGGGAGAAAACCTCTGCTTAGTCTACTGCTCATTCCTTATCACAGCCACCTTAGCACACGAAGAGCTGGTCAGACTGACGAAAGACGGCTGAGCAGTCAATACAAATCTTAAAGTCCTGACAGGCAAATGGGGCTCTGGGCTTTGGTGTCACGCGAGGTCGATGGCTCCACAGACAAAGCGGGCAAAGAAATTATCTGCACCTTAAAGGGGGTAGAGATAGCTTTAGGCATGTTGCGAACCCAAAGCGAATACAATCGTCATCCACCAAGACCGCGTGCAAATCTTCCATGCGCTTAGTCGAGGCAAGGGCAAGAAGCAGAGCAGCTTTGAGGGAGAGCTTCCTCATAGCAGCAGATTCCAAGGGCTCAAACAGGGGCAGAGAGAGAGCTTTTAAAACCAGTGTTAGGTCCCACGGTGGCACTGAAGGCGGGCGTGGGGGATGTAGTCTCCTCGCTACCCTGAGAAATCTGACCACCAGCACATGCTTCCCGATCGATTGCCCGTTAACCGGGGAACGAAACGAAGCAAAAGCGGCCACATAAACCTTTAACACTGATGGTAGGCTCCCGTTATCTAGTCTGTGCTGCAGAAAACATGGAACATCCGTCACGAGGCAGCTCGCCGGGTCGAAATCTTTATCACAGCACCATTATGCAAACACTCCTCATTTAAGTGCGTACAGACATCTGAGCATCTCCAATCAGGGGGAAGTGAAAACATCGCAAATGTGTGTTCTCGCTTGTCGCAAACAGATCCAACTCCTCTCCCGGAGCGGTCCCAAATCATTTGAACCGAACTGGGATGCAGTCTCCACTCCCTGTGAGAAATTCCATTCCTCAAAAGCATGTCCGCTCCGTGGTTTAGGAGACTGGGGATAAGCGTCACTCTGATGGAGAGTAGATGACGATCCGCCCATGATAGGAGGCTTGCAGCCTGCTCGAAAATGGCTCTGGAGTGCTTGCCTCCTTGGCGATTAATGTACGAAACCACAGACATGTTGTTGGTGTAAATCAGCACATATCGCTGTTCCAGCTTCGGCAGAAAAGCCACTAGGGCTAAGGACACCGCTTTCAGATCCAAGCGGTTTATGTGCAAAAGACCCAGGTGGCAAACTGATTTATAAGGCCGACGCAATAAATCCCAAAAGCCTCTGAAAGTCCCTCAAGGGAATAGACCAGCCCGGTGCAGAGCTGATCAATGGTCGCTATGGGCTCTTGAGAGAGGCAGGCTCACATCTCCACCGAGTCGAAATAACGTTACACACCCAGATAGGTTATAGACTGACTGGGGGTGAACATGCTCTTCTGCATATCCATGCGCAGCATATAGGGACTCCCAATGGCGAAGCAGCACGTCTGTATGCCTGATAAGCACATCTCATGAATGGGCTAAAATCAGCCAATCGTCCAGATAGTATCCATGCACGTCGAGTGCTAAAGCCAGCTTGAATGGGAGCATTGACCACTGCTATGCTGTGCCCTCGAAAGCAAACCTCAGAAAGCATCTGTGGCATGGTGCTATCTGAATATGGAAGTATGCGTCTTTAAGATCTACGGATGCAAACCAGTCCCCGGAATGGTTTGTGCCAGGATCTGCTTCAGAGTTGTCAGCCTGAATGCGCACTTGTGAAGTGCTGTTTTGATGGGTCTCAGGTACATGATCGGACGGAGTCCCCCATCTCTCTTGGGTACCACAAAGGAGCAGGCTGTGAACCTCTTGTCTCAAAACGGGCATTTTGAGGCAATGTCAGTGATGGAGTCACACTGTTGAAACAGGGGGGTCTGTGTCTGAACTGGAGAGAAAACCTCCAGTGAAACGCCTGGAATAGCTCTCCATGTGTCTGACATAACTGACATAACGGCCGCGTCACTCCGGTCGCTATCACTGGCAGCGATGATCGAAGACTGGTGCCTCGCCCCGGCAAGGCTAAACGTGTACAGATAGGATGAGGAGGAAACAGCTCTTTTGAGAGAGTGCTTATTAGGGGTGGGCGATATAGCCTCAAAATTATATCACGATATTTCAAGAATATTTGCGATAACGATATTTATGATGATAGAAACAAATATGGAACAATGTTTTATTGGTGATTGCAGCTGGCAGGCTGCAACATTTATTAGTGCAAACAAAATGAAGGGCATTTTCCATCCTTTTCCAATGAGCTACAGTCATCGATGACAGACTACCTAATTCGAAGTGTAAATCTTACTGTCATAAGGTGGCAGCAGCAGCTGTGTGTTCGACTTGAAGCAGACCGATTGGTGTATGAAATCAAAATACAGCGAGAGTGACTTACCCCTTATTTACACTGCACGTGTCTGAGGCGCTTTACAGCTCCAACGCGGCCACCAGAGCTGATCACGGACACTCTAGTCAATGCTTGTGTTTACACCAGCCGCACCACAGCACGTTTCAGAAGCGTCCCAGAAGCAGCTCTCCGCGCCGCTTCGCTAAAAATAGGTGCCTCGCCTATTTTTGACGGTAAGAGTGTGCTCTCGAATATGCTCTAGAACCGCTCAAGCAATACTTTGATGTCATACGCCGTTCAGTCTGCGCAGCGCTGCTTCAAGTCGAACACACCTATTGGGTTTGTGGTGTTGTTGTTGTGCGCGCTAGGGAACGTAAATGCGCCATACGTCATCATGCCGGTATATCATTGATATCGCGATATGACACTTTTTTATCATGTAAAAATGTATACCGGTGTTATCGTGGACTGTATGATATGGCACACCCCTATGCAGTAGAGACGAAAATGTGGAATAAAGTCGTTATTTTTGTTTTCTTTGCGCAAAATAAATAAATAATTTATTCTCATTGCTTCGTAATATTACGGTTGAAACACTGATGTAACATGGACTACTTTGTCAATCATCTTGGTACTTTTCTGTGCCTTGACCATGGTAGTTCCCTTGCTGTCTATGGGAGAAACGACACGAGGGTGGGTAATTAATGACAGAATTTTCATTTTTAGGTGAAAAAACTATTTTGTTCCCTTTAAACAATTTTGCACTTGAAATGGCTACAATTATTGTTGCTATAGGGCGAGGCACCGCAGAGAACAGAGAGCGTGTGGCAGAAGGAGGAGGATTTTTTTCCACACATATTCATTTTATTTGGAATGCCAGAAGAACACATTGTCCGAACATATCGTTTGCCAAGCCATGTTATTTTTAATTTGCTTCAGGAAATAAAAGATGACTTGGAACCCTCAACTAGGAGTCATCCAATACCAGCTCTATCAAAACTTCTTCCAACCCTTCATTTTTTGGCCTCCAGTTCTTTTCAACGTAGCCTACTGTGGCTTATTTATATCTTTATTCTTTATTTGTGACTACGCTAATTTGCACTGCGCTTGGTATATTTCATTGGTCGATATGTAAATTAGATGTTTGTGGTGTTTGTGTTCTTTCATTTGCATGTTGTTAGTAAATCACCCGCAGAAATTTCCACACCCATCGGTGCTGTTTTGGAATTGTGCTCTCCCGCTAATTTGCCCTGTTTAGTTAAACTGGCCCTAAGTGTGTGTTGGTGTGCTTGTCAGTCCATAATGTAAAATATTACAATTTGGCTTGAAAATACAGAACAGGATTTTCTCACCAGAAGAAATATCCGGAAGATCCTAGGCTCTCTTCTTTGTCTTGCAATATGCGATTATCTGCTAAGACCCATGCCCTTTAGAGCTCAAAGTCTATCCATCCCTGACATGTGGGTATAATATACCTTAGTCCAGAGCAATCTAAAATGAACAAAGAATACGAACAGTTAAATTCAAACATAAGACAACATTTCCTACTTCAGTGTTCAAAATATAATTAAAATCTCACTTCTTATTATTTATCAATTTAAACAGAGTGAACAAAGACATACATTTTTTTGTGGGTTTCATATATTATTCTAATTAACTAACTAGTTTTAATACAGTACATCAAAAATCACACTATGAAAATGATTAAACATAAATCAAAACAGTACTTACATTCTAACAAGATTATGACTTCACATAAACATTACAAAAATAAATATCAACTACTTAAATATTTTAAACAAAATTTTTTTTTAGTGTCCTTAATATTTTAATTTTCACAAACGGTTACGTACAGTGTATATACAATACAAACATTTGTAACTTTTCAAATGTGATTATATGTTTGTGCTTTTGGAAATTGATCTTTAATTAGCCTTATTATTTTGCATTTAAGCCTCTTTTTGAGCATAAAATGTAATACAATTCTGAAAATGTAATTGTTGTATGTCCAATTATTTAGTTGTATTATCATTTATCCATATCAGGGTGTACTTTCACCCAAGTGGTATAGTTAAGACGTGTGTGGGGTTTTGACAGTGGAACTTTCATTAATTTTAGAAACTGTGTAAATCCAGCATCCTGTACAGACCGTATTATATAATACAAACAGTATTAATTTCATTTAAGAACAGTTATTATGTGACTATCTATACCTTGAAACCGATAACGGTGTTTTTGATAACTGATGATAATACTGCTCCGCTCTCTCCATGTTCAGTTCTTCGTGGCTGAAGTAGCGGCTCATGTAATAATCAGTCTAGCTCGCAGCGGCCTCTGTCGGTAAAAAAATAATCACTACATGACTGCTCTGGTAACCAGCAACTTTCCAGAGATAAAACGTTTAATTTCATTTCTGTGTGTTTCGTAGTGTTTTAATTTTACACTGTAGTTTTCAGACGAAAGGACATGTAGTTTTGAATAAAAAGGCGACATACCTTCACGCAGAGTGGACGCGGCACCGGATGAAGAGGCTCCGGTGGTCTTCAAGACGAGCGCATCGGCCAAATATCTGAAATATATGTAAAATTTCCCCCAAAACTGTCGAGACAAACTGAAAAAGTAAGGAAACCGTTTTTAATAGGTTTGAAATTGCGCTCCTGTCAGGTCAAGAGTGCAGATAACGGCTTTTTAACGGATTAAAATATCAGTCGACTGGGGAGATGTAAACATACTCGTAGGAAAAACAGCAATATTACTGTCAGGGCTTAAAGACACTTTGTTACAAAAAACAACATAACGCGCACATATTATTACCGCTGTGTCATCTGTCGCAGCCGCAGTTGCACCGGTCGACCGTTGGAATTTAAAACTTTAACCCAACTGGTTGTGTTGTTATAGAAATAACCCAATAAACATAGGAATAACCCAACAAAACGACCCAACATGTTTAGCCCAGATATTGGGTACAGTAAATAACCCAACGTTTTTTAGAGTGTATATATATTTAAGAAAATATGTTATGTTTATATATGAAATATATGTTTATATATTATAAATTATATGAATATAAATATACACATGCAATATATGTAAATATTTTCAAAATATATACTGTATGTGTGTTAATTTATATATACATAATAAATATACACAGTATACACACATTTATTATGCAAACAAAAACTTTTATTTTGGATGCGATTAATCGCGATTAATAATTTGACAGCACTATATATATATATATATATATTGCCTATCTGGCCCCTGGTCACGCATGTGTTTCTCAATTAAATTAAGTTGATATAACAGTGGTTTAGAGACAAGAATATCTTTCAGCTGTGTGCATGTGAGGCTGGACGCAGCTTGTCTTGTGATAAATAAGTTCATTTATGTGTCTCTGCAGAGCTCATTCAAATCATTTTCCATTTAAACTAACTAAATCACATTTGGTGAAAAAATACTCACTGTAATATCTGTGTTGGCACCGCTGAGGATCAGCCACCCCACTTCTGACTGTTCAGTGATTGATATTCTCTCTCTATGCATGCAGATATTGAGAAATTGCCATTCTGTGCATGCAGCGTTTTTACTGAAGCTTATTATCCATGTGTGACATCTGTCAAAATCTAAATGCTTATTCATTAAAAGTGCATAATTAATGTGCCTGAGATCACATTACGGTTTCTTTCTTCATGAATACTTCTTTACAACTACTGCTATCATAAAATTACTCAAATGTGCCTTTCAGAGGTGTACAGCATCATTTATGTCATTGATTCAATTACACAGCATTTCACATTTTATTTAAACAAAACAAAACAAAAAAACTATGAAAATGTACTCACCCTCAAGCCATGCAAGATGTAGATGTGTTTGTTTCTTCATCGGAACAGATTTGGAGAAATTTAGCATTACATCATCAATGGATCAGTGCAATGAATGGGTGCCATCAGAATGAGTCCAAACAGCTGATAAAAAACATCACAATAATCCACAAGTAAAATGTGTTTGTAATAAACAAATGCATCATCAAGACATTTTAACAATTCAGAATATTGCTTTCTCTTCTGAATCAGGAGCGAAATATACACAGATCAAGCACTATTTGCACACAAAAAAAAACAGTCCAAAAGAGTTCTAAACAAACAAGTTGGTGAATTCTGATGTGAGAAGACAACAGGGGATAGACTTTATTATGGATTGGAGATGGAAACATTATTATGGATTATGGACTGGTATATTTTTGGTCAGAAGCTATTTTAAAGTTAAAATAATGTGATGTTTTTATCAGCTGTTTGAACTCTCATTCTGACGGCACCCATTCACTGCAGAGGATCCGTTGGTGAGCAAGTGATATAATGATAAATTTCTTCAAATCTCTTCATATAAAGAAACAAACTCATCTTGAATGGCCTGAGGGTGAGTAAACTTTCAACACAATTTATTTTTTGGGTGAACTAATCCTTTAACAGGACTGATTGACACAACCAGTCAACATTGCGTTGCATTGTAGTGTCAGTCATCATATAGATTGTGCATTTATTTTTCTTAATTTAATCACATACCATCATGATTGCTTTTCAAATGTAGCTTTTGCAGAGCAATTAAATGGATAGTACACGATCGTGGTGCATTTTAAGGTCTGACCTGAGTTTATGTTCAAGACACACTCACTCTAGAATTTTAAGATGTTAAGATCACCTAAAAAATGTGACACAAATGAGAATCTTAATTGCATAACCATTCAAGGGTTGGGTCAATGAGGGCAGGTGTATTCTTATGCAGATTTTTACCTTTGGGTACCATTGTACTTATTCAGATCTGACTGAAAATAGATTTTTAGGGCTTAATTCCCCCTTCCTATTGAAAACCCTTCATGTTTTCAGTAAATGCAAATATCGATCCTGGCAGTGCTTTCATGGCTGTGAAGAAATTGCTATTTACAAACTAACACGGTGGCAGCACTTTCATGTGGCAAACCCAGAAAAGAGTTGTTTTAGAGCTTCAAATTTTGCTAATGGTATCTGGTGTTGGTAGATTTTCACTTCACTGAGGTATAACAGCAAGTCACAAATGCATAGTAAACTGCATACTAGAATACTACTACTATTTCTAAAGTAGTATGAGTACATTGGTAAGAAAATTTAAGTGAAACATTTTTGAACAGGATGATCAGGGTAACTTATTACTTAAAGTCTGCTAAATTGGAACAACTAATATTGTACTTAATGCACTTTAATTGTGCGGAAGTAGTGCTGAAGTTCAACTAAAGATAAACTGAAGTATATTTGATTGTGCTAAAGTGGAACTATTGCAAGTATACTTTAGGTACAATTTAAATATCTTGCATTTAAAGACCGGTATTATTCAAAGATCATACAATCCTCGTAAATTGTGAGATTAAAACACATTTTAGGCTTAATATTAAGAAATGTGCATTGTGCACAAGTAGTACTCCAAATAAAGTAAGTTTCAAGCGATTTATCAGTAAATATTTTAATAGATTTTAACTATACTTAGTATGAAATAAATGTATTTTAAACATATTACTAGGGATATTATTCCTGCCATATTATTAACAAATAAAACTTATTTTAAGTAGAATAAAAAAATACAAAACAATAGATAACAGATCATAGAATGCACTGCAGCTAACATTCACTAAAATCTGCTCACCTTAATAACCCAAAAGCGCGGTATTCTGTTTGACATCACAATCATTGCATCTAGTCATCTTGTTCAGAAAAGGAACTGATAAAAGGGTAAGGTACTGTATGTCAAAAGCACTTACTCAAATTGGCATATATCGATCAATTATAAGTCATTGGGCAAATGCTAAAGATAGATGAGTCTGCCTTCTATTTCCTTGCATCAGTTTCCCAGAGCTCCTCAGATTTATGGCCCAAGAAGCCTAAAAAAAGATTAGTCACTCAGTATAGGGTTTGGAAGTTCAAAAACTAGAAGGGAAGAATTCACATTTTAATTGACATGCCCTTTTACGATTATGACCAAAATGTGGGCACAAGATGACTTTCTGCCAAGATCCTGTTTGACACATTCCACAACCAATCAATGAAACCTGTTTGGATAAAGTGTGAGGATTTTGAGATGCCAGACATTTTTTTTCAGCACCTCTGTTATTCCCTGAAAAGAAGCATCTGTTTTCTTGGAGAGTGAGTGAAAATTACCACAGAAGTTACTCTAGAAAAGATTTGTTAAATCTTGGATAAGTCATCATTAGTGAGAATATTTCAAGGCTTCGTTAAAAGTAGCAAGCTTGTTATGCAAGCTTATTAAGTGTATATGTGTGGAAGAAAATGTGCCAGTCTGTAATTAACGAAGTTTGTTGTGTTCTGGCAGAATGTCATCACTCACTGAAACTTGTAAATGACTTGTAATTTTGCAGTAGGCTCCAACATGCTGCTTGGTTTTAACAATCACTTAATTGTTAAAGATTATTAGGCGTCATCTCAATAAGTAATGTTGCACCTACATTTCTAACTCTCATCAGAGTATTAGTAGACTGCTTAATATCTGCTAACTCTTTATTGTCATGGTCTCCCAACAGACATTCTACTGACTATAAGCAACTTTGCAAGTGCATGTCAACTTATTCTAAACCTAACCCTACCAGTCTACTAATACTCTATTAATACTCTAATGAGAGTTAGTAGACATACTGTAGGTGCAATGTTACTTATAGTCAACAGAATGTGTTAAAGGGACCATCAAAATAAAGTGAAACCAAATATTCTTTACATACTGGCCTTGTATAGCCTACATATTCATGTATTTAATTAGACAAAAGCATATGGATGGCATTTTGTTTAAGAATTTTAATATGAGGTCATTTCACAGTACATTATTATGCACAAAAAAATCTGTAGTGGAAAACTGGCAAGCACAGATGAGAAATTGTTCATAGAGTGAGGTGTACAAATGATCAAGAGCTGATGAGTGTGTTAAGCTTAATGTGTATTAAATAATGTATTTGTGTTACATTTAACCCTAAAATCAATTGTAACATCTATGAAACCAACTTACTAAAGCTCAATATTTTTTTTACTGGGAGCAAAGCAAAGCAGACAAGTTATAGGGTATATGCTTGAGTATAAGTTACACACTGAAGAGGAAAAAAAATTAAAAAAAGAAAAAATTAAATGTAATCGTGAAAAAATATTAATAAAAATAATTAACCAAATGCTTTTGTAGAGTGAATATATTTATATGTATTTGTATGGTACAAAACAGTGTTACACTTTAATTAATTTGCACAATATAATTTGCAA